ACTTTCTCCAACCCTCCTTTCCTGGCTGACATACCTGTAGAAGCCCTTCCTGTTATTCTTAGCATCCCTTGCCAAGTTCAGCTCCAGCTGTGCCTTAGCCCTCCTGACCTCATCCCTACACAACTGGGCAGCACCCCTATACTATTCCCAAGATACCTGTCCCTGCTTCCACTGTCTGTGCAGTTACCCCTTTCCCTTTAGTTTGACCAGCAGGTCTTGACTCAGCCATGCTGGTCTCTTACCTTCCTTGCCTGACTTCTTACACCCGGGGACTGAGAGCTCCTGTGCTCTGTGGAAAGCGCCCTTAAAGATCTGTCAGCTCTGTTCTGCTTCGCTGTCCCTGAGGACCATTTCACACAGGGTTCTACTGACTAAGTCCTTGAAGAGATGGAAGTTGGCTTTCCTAAAACTTAGGGTCTCGACTATACTCCTCACCTTTCCTATATCCCTCAGGACTGTGAGCTCCACCAATGCGTGATCACTGCAGCCACCTCCAGTCTTGATGTCACCAATGAGATCACTTGCACTGGTGACCATCAGCTCCAGTATTGCATCCCCCTGTCCCAAGACAATGCAGCAAACCAAAAACTAAGCAGTCTCACCATCTCTTCTGCAGTCCCTAACTGTCACTAGTCATCATCTGTTTGGCATGCCTAGGAGGAGCTCATCTGTTAGATCATGACTTAAACCAGGCAATCCAAAAGTTCAGACTAAAGAAATCAAAAGCAAAGAACAAACACCACCCAAAAAACCCACATACTTTGAATACTTGGTAACAGGCTGTATGCGCGTGTCACTCGTAACTGCAGTCCATCTAGTAGCATGTGTTGGATAACAGCCTTTTGTCAGGGTCTTTTACTTCAGAAAATAAAACACCACGACAAATTTCAACATCCATTTTATTCAGTGCCCTGTACTTTGTCTTCCCTTAGCTCTTGCAGTGTGCTAGACAGTGTACAAACAGAGAGAGGCATGATACTCGGCCAAGAGGATTTACTTGAAAACATGAGGTCTCAGGCAGAACTGCAAGGAACAAACACATAGAAGGAGTTATGAGAATCTGACACACACACAACATTTCATCAGAAATGAGGCTTTTCCTACAGAAGCCACCAACAACAAATACAAATTATTTCCTGTCACTCAAGGAAAAGCTTTAAAGGAAGAAGGAAAAAAAGCAACCGACCCACTGGCCAATCTCTGCACCTTTTACTCAGCAGTTAGAAGAAATTTCTCTGAATAAGTATACCACCTTACATCTCTAGCTGGTTAATACTGAGCAAGAACTTCTGCTCTTAACACTACTACTTACGTTCAGCTACTACCTAAATATTCCTTGTATACCTAAAATTCATTATCAGAATTTCACTACATTCCTCTATAAAGGTTACAGTCAACCCTCTACTAATGCCCGCTGTGATTTTAGCATTTAAAATGTTGCTTTTCCAGACATCATGCTGACAGCATTCAACTTTTAGACTTTCTGATGTTTGGTTAAAATAGTTTGAACAGCAACTTAATGGCAAATAAACAGTCCTGACTGTGAACATGAAAAGATCAGGAGGGAAAAAAAAAAAAAAAAAAATCATCGCAGAACCCACAAGCAGCTGAAGAAAGTGCAACACAGCAAAAAACATGAAAACATAATCCAAACACATGAACATAGAGGCCACCTATTGGTTTATTTTTTTTCATACACATTCACTGATCTTAGCAACAACGAATGAATAATTTCAAGACTGCAGTAGTACAAACTCGTTGTGCAACTTTTTACTTTGTTTCAACCCACAAATAAATATAATTAGAAGTATTTAGTATATTCACCTTTTGCTAGTACAACGTTACGGGTCAGTTATGTTGTGAATTTCAGCTGAGATCTGCAAAGCATAGCTATTCGATCTCATTTTCTGATCTATTTAACAAATACTCTATTCAAGTATTTTTTAAATAACCAAGTTACTTAAGAAAGAGATTCTTCTGCAGCCCCAGTTATGGGCAGCTCTCTACTCATCTTCACTTAAAGCAAAGTACTCTGTCTTAAAAAATAACCAGGAATTTCTTATGGTTAGATTTTCCCAAATAATTTGAACACAACAGCATTCACTGGAGAGCACCTAAAAAGAAAAGGAAGGCTAAAAAACAACTCCAGTGCTCTGCGTTGCCCGTAACTTTCCAAAATCCAGCTATGGTTTGCAGCTCCCAGCGCACACAGCTGACATGACTGACCTTGTTGAAATCTCCCTGGGTAAGCAAGATAGCTCTAAATAAAGAACACCAGGCCCTTACAATTAATTGCTAACTATTAATAAATGAGCATATTTCTCCCAGGCACACCTATAAATAAATATAGTTGCCCAAGAGCTTTACCAGGAATGGAAATCGGAGTATTTTATGATATAACAGGCGCAGGAATAAGTGATAGCCATGAACTACTGAGTAAGGGAGTAACTGAACCCGGAGCGCAATAAAGAGACCAAAGCAGACGTGTGATCCCCAGCTAGCTGAGTCTACAGCTACAGCGACAAAGGCCAAATTGTAACGGAGCCTCACAACAACGGAGGCTTCTAACCACAAGCGCGTCAAACTGTCCTTACCGTGTAAAATTTGGCTTGAAGTCACAACTCACATAAGTATGTGAGGCCTGGGGGCAGGGGAAGAGACGGATCAGGCTACAGCAAACAAAGAGGAGGCACAGTGATGTTCTCTAATAAGACAGTGACATTTCTCACACAGGAGGCTCTGTCCCATTCGCAGCTTTCCTCCCCCTCGCATCTTTTGAGGAACAACCTTAGCTGTGGTGTTTTCAGTAGCCATGGGCTTCCGAGACCACAGAAAGTTTCTCCATGTCACCAGATCACTCCGTTTCCTTCAAATTGTTGCTACGCCAGTAAAATTGAGCCACTTTTTCACTGGAGTTTTCTCCATGTGCACAGCCCTATGGAACTAAATGGGTTCTTGCAGGATTGCACACCCAGGATATCCCGGAAAACTGCAAGCCCACAATCAAACAAACACCAGCAGTTCACAGTGAAGATGTGCTGCAATTTCCATGGCCACACACCTGTCCCACGATAACCTGAATAACTCCCAGAATCCCTCCTGAGGAGCTCTGGGGGAATTCAGTCTTGTGGGCACACAAGGGAGAGCTGTGAGATACAGGTGAAGACTTTGAGCCCACAAGCATCTTAACCCTCACAGGAGCAAGACTGCAGGTCAACCGCAACACGATCCAGATGTCAGTTTCTACCCCAATAAGCATGAACTGGGGGAAAAAAAAAAAACAAAACACTACACACCATCTTCTCAGTATAGTCTGGAAAACAATGCAGGCTATATCAAAGAGCATAAACTCCATGTCAATCGAGCCACAAGTCAAATCAACACAGCATCCTAGCCAAAGTACCTCTTCATTGCTGAACATGGCCCCCAAACACTATTTGAATGTGTGTCACACTGTAAGAGAAGCCTGTAACCACACCATCACTTCTTCCAGACAGAAATCGAGGAGGTGCTTACAAAAAAAATCTCGTAATTTTTCAAACACTGATGCTGTACCTAAAAAGTTATCACATCCTTGGTCAAAGCTTGAGAAATGCTTCACCTACACAGAAAACTGCTAGCAAGTAAAAGCGCAGCTCTTCATCAGAAGCTCAGACCCACTCTTTTTAGCTACATAGCCTGCTACTGTCAGTAGAGCGCACGCCGCCAGAAAAAAACACCCTTGTTCGCAAAAAACAGCAGGGTGCTAACCTGAATTAGCAAGAGAAGACAAGCAACTGTGTTTTGTATCAGCTGTTGTTGGTAACAACGAACAGAGCACTTTTTATTTAAAATCTAACTACAAAAATCTAAAAGTGTTCATGTTTGGCTTTACTAATTCTTGATAGGTTCTGTTTTAAATTCTAGATAAATGCTATTTACAGTATTTACCTAGGAGTAAACAGCTCAAAAAAATCACAGAACAAAACTCCTCAGGACAAAAGTTACCTTGTTAAAAAATAGGTTAGTTCAAAAGCCACTTTAGCAAAAAAAAAA